CCATTAACAAGACCTTCAGGCGCTGCTCTCTGTCTTTTAAAGTCCTGGGCCTAAAGGTCTTACAAATGGCACAACGATCCTTCTGATGGTCCTCTCCTAAAAACTTTAGACACGAGGCGTGAGGCTCGCTTCTGGACATACACTCGCCTCAGGCTTTGAAGCCCGGAGACCCTGGCATGCCCTGGTGTCAGGAAAGCGTAGAAGAAAACTTATCTAACACTAATGAACTACTAACTATTAACGAACAATGGAAAACTAATGGAGAGCAATGTAAGAAACTGATAAATGCACTTGTTGAGACAAGAGCACAGGGAAGTTCCAGCTGTCACTGGCAGTAAAAAGGAACTGAGGGGGTGGCAGGTCGACAGGGCTCAATATTGAGCAACATGAAGGCGCAACTCCAGGGGGTGCCCAGGCCGACCCGATGGATGCTGCTAGGGGAAAAATCTTCCAGCTACTGTGCATGTGCGCGCGCACACACACCTGATTGGAATCGACATGAACAAGCACTTGAAGAAGAACTCTGTAGTTCACAGTTTAAGAACCAATGCACTTAGGACTTGGCTACACTTGCAAGCTAGAGCGCATTAAATCAGCCCCGGCCACTCTAACTCCTGAGGCATCCACACTTAGAGTGCCTGGACTCTGCAGCTGGAGTGCTCCTGGTAATCCACCTCTACGAGAAGCATAATGCTTGCTGCGCCTCAGCTGAAACACCTGGGTGTCAGTGTGGATGACGTCTTCCATTACTGCACTGTGATTGGCCTCCGGAAACGCACTCCATAATCCCCTGAAGTCAAGTGGCCACTCTTGTCATTGTTTTGAACTCAGCTGCAGGTATGCGGATCTCCCCTTTCAAAACTCCATTTCTGACAGCCAGCACGCTTATCTGCCCCAGGACAAAGCAAACCATTACTGTGGAATGCTGCTGCTGTGAGTTTGCGTGAGAGAGAGGCAGGCAAGGGGGAGGGAGGTCTGCTGCTGTCTGAACTTACAAGACAGCATGCTGACACACGCTCTCCCCCCCTCATATACACAACACACTCCCTGTCAGATTCCACCCCGACCCCCATTTAAAAAGCACACTGCAGCCATTTGCACACTAGGATAGCTACTACAACGTACTGCTCTTTGTGGTGTTGCAAGAGCTGCTAATGTGGCCACGCCAGTGCGCTTGCAGCTGACAGTGTAAACACACAGCAGCGTTTTCCCTGCTGCAGTCTCCAAAAGCTGGTTTAACTCCCAGTGCTCTACATCCGCAAGTGTAGCCAAGCCCTCAGAGACAGTCTGTCCTCAATACAGGTGAATAACTAGGTATTAACAGGAGTTCCACATACAGAGGGAGAAAAGAATATATTGAATTTAAGAGTTCTTATAACAGCTTAATGGGCTATTGTCATTGGGCTAAACGTTGAGGATACTTTTTGAAAATAAAGTTTAATCCAACTTCTTTGTAGAGTCCGTTATATTACTCGCCTTGAGAAAAGACTAATGTACATCAGCTGCTGACTAAATTAAACAGCCATTAAAAATTAGCTTCCTGATAATCACAATCTCATAGAATCACAGAATGTAGGACTGGAAGGGACCTCAAGAGGTCTTCTAGTCCAGTCCCCTGCACTCAAAGCAAGACTAAGTATTTTCTAGACCAGTGGTTCTCAACCTATTTACCATTGTGGGCCGCATATGAGCTCTCTGTGTTATGTGGGATGCATCCACACAATATATATACTACTTTTATGGCCCTAATGATGTCACATGGGTCGCAGCTACATATTGATTGGGCTGCAAGTGGTCTGTGGGTTGCGAACCACTGAGCTAGACCATCCTGACAGGTGTTTGTTAAACCTGTTCTTAAAAACCTCCAGTGACAGAGATTCCACAACCTCTCCAGGCAATTTATTCCAGTGCTTAACCACCCTAACAGCTAGGAAGTTTTTCCTAAAGTCTAACCTAAACTGCTCTTGCTGAAATTTAAACCCATTGCTTCTTGTCCTATCCTCACTGGTTAAAGAGAACAATTCCCCCCCTCCTCCTTGTAATAATCTTTTATGTACTTGAAAACTTATGTCCCTTCTCAGTCTTTTCTTTTCCAGACTAAGCAAACCCATTTTTTTCCAATGTTCCCTCATAGGTCATGTTTTCTAGACCTTTAATCATTTTTGTTGCTCTTCTCTGGAATTTCTCCAATTTGTCCACAACCTTCCTGAAATGTGGCGCCCAGACTGCACACAATACTAACACTCCTGCTAATACATCCCAGAATGATGTTTGCTTTTTTTGCAACAATGTTACACTGTTCACTCATATTTAGCTTGTGATGCTCTATGACCCCCAGATCCATTTCTGCAGTACTCCTTTTTAGGCAGTCACTTCCAATTTTGTATGTGTTCAGCTGTGGAGTACTGTGTATTTGTCCTTATTGAATTTCATCCTATTTATTGCAGACCATTTCTCCAGTTTGTTCAGATCATTTTGAATTTGAATCTATCTTCCAAAGCACTTGCAACCCCTCCTAGTTTGGTATTGTCTGCAAACTTTATAAGTATACTCTCTACGCCATTGTCTAAATAACTGATGAAGATATCGACAGAACCGGACTCGGAACTGATCCCTGAGGGACCCAAGTTGATATGTCCTTCCAGCTTGACTGTGAACCACTGATAACTACTCTCTGGGAACAGTTTTCCAACCAGTTATGCACCCACCTTACAGTAGCTCCATTTAGGTTGTATTTCCCTAGTTTGTTTATGAGAAGGTCATGCGAGACAGTATTAAAAGCCTTACTAAAGTCAAGATATACCACATATATCTCCCTGTAGAAACTCTCAGAATAGTGTTATTAAAAAGTTATAATGTAAAGCAACTGAAGGTTGAAGATTTTCTACATCTGATTTAAAAAATAACAAGTCTACATAAAAGCTGCATATATCCCCTCCTTTATTTTTCAGTGCATCTTGTAAGGTATTTATTTCTACCACAGATAAAGTCAAAGGATCTGGCAATGTCTCTCCTAATTTTTCAGTAAGTATATTCTACCCAGGTGTCAACAGTATAATGCTTGCATATTTACACCTGCCTCTGGAAATTTCCACTACATGCATCCGACGAAATGGGTATTCACCCACGAAAGCTTATGCTCCAAAACGTCTGTTAGTCTATAAGGTACCACAGGACTTTTTGCCGCTTTTACAGATCCGGACAAACATGGCTACCCCACTGATAATGGTATAATGTGTGTGCAGTTACTTAAATTATCTTTGGTTAGGTCGGCATATCTGTAGTTATAGGCTATAAGGTTTAGAAGTGTGCCCTCTATTTTATTGGGAAGCGTAAAAATAAAACACACGAGGCAGACAGGCAGTCAAATATGCTTCTGATTTCACTTATGACTTGAATAACTCATTTGCAATGTAAAATAAAGCCTTTCCACTGTTTAGGCAGCATCACAGACAAATAGTTCTTATGGCTTTACTGAAAACCTTTACCATTCTATCAACTTTAAAGAATTCACTTCATAGGACAGGACAGACTTGGGAGGCAGTGTGTTAAAGCATCATACTGTGTCAAATTTCACTCTCCATAGTGACTACTCAATAACACAAAGTCTGTGCAGTGTTTTACATGATTTGGGGCACAGAAACACTGCCACTACTATTGCTACTTTCTGCAAACGTTACCTCTGTGAGCTAAATCAAATTGGGTGAATCGTAACAAAAGACAATAAGAAATCAATTACCATTTGAGTTTCTGTCCAAGAAGGCATTAGAAATCAACGAATTAGGGAAGAACAGCAGAACATGAAGTTTGCTGTTCTTCTGGAAAGTGCAGTATGAAAGAGAAAATGCGTTAGCATCATCATCTGTAATGTAAGGCAGAACAAAAGACCCTGTGCCAGGGAAACTGATGTTCCACATTTGTGCAGAAATGTGGAAAAATTGATGATGCTATTACCCCCAGGCTTCATGCTGCTGCAGCAGTTATGGTTTGTTTGTATACCATTATTACTACAGATATCCACACAAAGCTAATTGTGATTAAGCTGTTTTGCTTTGGTAAGAAAACAAACTCAAAGTAATACCAGTGAGGCCATGAGAGTTTACCTTTTTGATTAGCAACACACACATACTTCCAATCTTTTACCTGTTTTAACCCAGTGTGGGACTTACAAGCCCTACAGGTTTGTGGTGCTTCAGTGCCAATTTCTGCAGCAGATACAGATACATTCTTTGTCAGGGAAATGGAAATCTCCTGCTTGTTCGGAGAGAGCAGATGCATACCCATGAGCTACAATGTGAGCAAAAAATGGAAGGAGGACTTTGAATGCCAGGTTAATAATAAAAATAACAGGGCTATGAATAGGTTTTAAAATTGCCAATTAGAAACAAATCTCTGAGGTGCAGGTGTAAACTGTCCTAGTGTTGCTGGTCCTGCCACAAAGTTGGCACCACTCTGTGTACAAGAAAGCACAGCACCTTCCCAAACAAGGAAGAACAATAGTTGTATTGTTAAGGCACTCAAGCTGGGGCTCAGGTGATCTGGGTGTAGTTCTTAGCTCTGCCACAGATTTCTTGTGTGACCTTGGGCAAATGACTTCATCTCTCTGTGCCTCAGTTCTCCATCTATAAAAATGGGAATAATAATCCTTTTTTTTTTCTACCATTGGTCTGTCTTATTCAGATTGCACACTCTTCAGGGCAGGGTCTGTCTCGTATTGTGTTTGTAGAGCACTGAGCACATGGGGCCTCTCTCTCAGCTGGACTAGGTGCGACCATAAATACAGATATGCTCTGAAAGACTAAAATACTTAATTCAAATCCTATCCCCTCAAAATACATCTAATTGTAAGTTAAAGTTACTAAGAATGTTTATAGATCACTTATTGTAAAGGAAAGGAGAAAAGTAATTATTATCAGAAGCAGTAGGGTTCATCCCCTGCACAACCTCTCAGACTAAACCAATCTTTTTGTTTCTTAAAAGAAAAATCAGACTGTATTTACTTGAGAATTTTGCCAGCAGTTGGCTGGTCCTGTCCCCAGTAGTAAAGATCTAATCCAAAGGGTATTATAGGAGCTTTAGCTCTTTCTTCTTCTTCTAGTTTTCTTGTCTCACTGTCAAGCTCTCCTGAAGCTGCTGGCTTGGGATTTGCAGATGCACTGGAGAAAGATAATAAAAAGTCAATAGAGAACAATAATGATCACAATTATTTCCCTGCTTTTGCTAACCTTTTGCACCAACACTCACGTTATCTAAGATCCACTAGGACTTCTACTATCTACTTTAGTTGGTTTGTTCTTTAGGATATAGAGTGTGATGCTGTCATACAAGCAGAGCACAATATATTGTTAAGCTTATATTAACACTCAGCTCATGACTGTGAAAAAATCTTTTAAAGCAGCTTGTGGGACCCTAAAGGTCTGTATGTGATGTAATAATGGATCATAGATGGTGTAGTACAACAAAAGCCACAGTGAAGTTGTTGTTGAAAACCTAATTCAGAACAGTCTTGCTTCTGTAGATTTATGTCCATGTTTGTACTGTCATTACGTAGATTGCAACATCCTTGTTTTGTGTCCACAGCATTCCATCTCCCAGACTTGCACTACTGGGGTTTTCAGCACCACCACCAATTCTACCTTTCCCTTAGCAGAAGTTTTGTGTTACAGAAGGACAAAAGTGTATAAAGAAAAGAGGTAGGTAAGGTTGTTAGCTGTTCTCAAACACAGTACTCCAAAGTATATTAGTATAAAGGGGTTTTTACCAGGTGCATCATTAGCAAGTAAAGGGATGGCCTTCCACTATTTGACTAAAGAATGCCCACTACCAGTTATGCAATGTTAGATAACAATTCACTAAACCCAAAACATGAAGTTGCAGAGCCTAAGCACTTCAGTAGCCCAAATTATGATGGTTTTACTAATTTATAGTATTAAAACACATAAACATCTTTTTTGAATTTAGAAATCTAAATTTTTAAGTTTAGTTTGTTATTGCCATATTGATTAAACCCTCTAGAAAACTAATGGAGTACAGCACTTTGCCTTTGCAAGATTGTGCTTCAGCTTCTGCTAGCTTTTTACACTATAGAAGTGTCATTTTGGGAGATGCCAGTCCATTAGCAGGTTACGCCAGTCACAGGGAATACTAGGGTCCACACTCAGAGATTTGCAAGCATGGCATATCAAACTCCGCTACAATAAAACCTCAGAGATATGAGCACCAGAGTTACGAACTGACTGGTCAACCACACACCTCATCTGGAACTGGAAGTACGCAATCAGGCAGCAGTAAAGACAAAAAAAAAAAAAAAAAAAAAGCAAACAATACACTACTGTGTTAAACATAAACTACTAAAAAATAAAGAGAAAGTTTAAAAATAAAGATTTTACAAGGGAAGGAAACTGTTTCTATGCTTGTTTCATTTAAATTAAGATGGGTTAAAGCAGCATTTATCTTCTGCATAGTAAAGTTTCATAGCTGTAGTAAGTCAATGTTCAGCTGTAAACTTTTGAAAGAACAACAATAACATTTTGTTCAGAGTTACAAACAACCTCCATTCCCAAGGTGTTCATAACTTTGAGATTCTACGGTAATTCATAGTCAGGACTGAAATTTCAGGAAGCTCTGAGTAGGATTGACAAACGATAATCTTTGAAATCAGTATGACAGGCCTCAATAGCTGGCATTTATGACACAGTAAGTCACCAGGAAATCCAAGGCTTTTGAAACTATTTATTTGCTAACCTAGTATTAGGATTTGCAAACCATAACATTCCCCCAGAAAACAGAACCTTTTTTGGATGGGATCCCTATGATAAGTTCTTAGTAAAAGATTTTCTAAAGAATCTACAAAAAATGATTAGCAAAACCTCGATTTCTAATCACGCAAGTGTTAAGACTGGGTATAAAAAAAGTATTTTAAATACAAATAAGTAATATTTTATAACCTAATCCAGTGGTTCTCAAACTTTTGTATGGTGACCCCTTTCACACAGCAAGCCTATGAGTATGACTCCCCTTATAAATGAAAAACACATTTTTAAATATTTAACACTACTATAAATGCTGGAGGTGAAGCAGGGTTTGGGGTAGAGGCTGACAGCTCATGACCTCCCAAGTAATAACTGAGACCCCTTCAGGGGTCACAACCCCCAGTTTGAGAACCCCTGGCCTAACCTCTTCTAGCCTGCCCCGTTTCTGGGTGTACTTTCTGGGAGTGCTTTTGTAACTAAAAGAGCCAAGGAACATCATAGTGATGTTTCTAAAACAAATAAAATGATCATGACCTGGTGTTTAGGGATGGTAACTTAGGTAGCTTATCTTGGATAAGTTTCAATGTTGCAGCGGCACAAGTTGGATCAAGTTCCTCTTCATTCCTTTCTGACTGGGAGCTCAACAAAGCTGGCCTCATGACCATTCCTTTTGTTAACACTTTCGGAGATGATTGGGGCGCCAACCCTGCAGAAAAAACAAAAACAAACAAAAAAATAAAAACCCCCAGCATGTTTAGGAGGGGAAAAATAAAGCCTTTAAAAAGAGAAATCTTACAACTACATCAGAGTGTTTGGAAAGGCTATCAAAGGAGTGGATAGATTGTGGCTACCTCACTAACATTTTTCGTTGGAATGGCATCAACCAGCATGTTACTGATACAAGCCAGTAGATACATTACTATTTCTCCTATGGGAAAATTATTATTATTTTGGTACAAACAAGTATTATCATCATATCAACAGTAAAACCTCATTATGACACTTTTGTATTATCCCACCAGGAAAGAAAAGTTAGACAACAAAAAGATGATGTCCAAATTGCTACACTGTTTTTTGACATGATTGTGGCTGGTAATAGTCTCACATCAGCCCTCTCAGAGTCCATACCATACTCACTGCTAATCCAAGGCAGCGTACTATGTGAAAGGAACTATGAATATTATATCCATGAGTGATGCTAAAGAGAAGTTCCCTATCTAATACAGAAATGCAAAAATAAATAAATAAAGTTGCAGAGCAGCAGAAGAAAGAAAACAGACTAATAGCCATAGGCTCCCCGGTGCTGTGGCTGCTTTGGTGTAACATTCCCTGTGCAAAGCAGGCCTAAACTTGGCTCAGCCAGGCACAGGGGAATAGCTCTGATGTAGGGATATTCATTGGTGGTGTAGAGCTGACACAGCAGCTCCAACAACAACTTACAGCCTACCATCACCACAGCAAGTTAAGGAGCATGACTAATGGGAAAGAGCTGCGTGGCTAAGGCTTTTCCTCCAACCTGGTGATTCCCAATTGCCATACTGGCCCTTCAGATACATAGAACAGGCTTCAAAAGGGCTGGAAATGTGATCTCTTTTCCTAAGTGTTTTGCAAAAGGAGAAACAGCTCCACTGACAATGTAAAGACCTTTGATCCTTTGCATCTGTTTGAGAATATACTAATCTACCAGAATCTTTTCTTTCTTAGATAACCATCAGGAAAAAAAGAGCACTCTTTACTTTCAAAGATAAAGCATCTACCTAAGTGCCTGCAGAAGCACAGGGCATGCCCACCAACTAGCATCCTTATGACAATCTGACATGATTGAGGAACAAACCCACTGCAAGATTTTCAGCACCAAAAGCTCAGCTACTGCAGTGATGGGGGCAATATAACTGTTTTACATAGGCAGACAGACGGTTAAGATTAGTGAAAGTTAGATTAGATTAGATAGATCAAAAGCATAGACCTCTACCTGCTGAACTAAAACAGCCGCTCCATTAGCAGGTAGCAGTAATAGGCTCTGATTCTCCAGGAGGGCCAGCCACTAAGGGAGACCTGATCACATGCACTCATCCAATAGTTTACATTTGCACTTTTCAAACAAATAAAGTAAGCATCTTTATAAGAGATGCGAACCCAAGTACAAACTGTAAAACCAAAACAACAAAAGCTATTGTTCCATGGGAAGGAAAGTTTGAGCAAGCTGTGACAGCCTTCATCTGGAAAACAACCCAGTTTGCTTGAAGTCTTTCCCATCATCTATCCCACCCTTCATTTCTTAACTGGCAGCACTGAATACATAGCATGCTCACCTATTACTTCCACTTCTTAACTTGAGCATTGGGCAGGTGATTGTGTTTGTGTCTAAAAAATCCTATGTAAAAATTCATTCTAATTGGCTTTGATACGAGCACTGCAAAATTTACTGGAAACCAGATAGATAAGGGCAATGATAATTAAGAGTAATGGGATGAAACTGAGCAGAGGAAAATATAGGCTAAATATCGAGAAGGAGTGGAATCTTAACAGGGAGGTCTATTAGACTGCAGAACGGCCTCTCAAGGAACATTGTGGAGATCATCTCTGAAGTGTTTTTAAAAAAAATTGTTACTCACCTTCTCGTAACTGTTGTTCTTCAAGATGTGGTGTTCACGTCCATTCCAATCAGGTGTGTGTGCACAAACGTGCACAGTAGGTGGAAGATTTTTCCCCTAGCAGCAACCAGAGGGTCGGGCTGGGCACCCCCTGGAGTCTCGTCTCCATGGAGCCTAATACAGGGCCCTGCCAGCCCGCCACTCCATCAGTTCCTTCCTGCCGGCTACTCCAACAGAGGGGTAGGAGGGTGGGTATTGGAATAGACATGCACAACACATCTCGAAGAACAACAGTTATGAGAAGGTGGGTAACCATTTTTTCTTCTTCGAGTGCTTGTCCATGTCGATTCCCATCAGGTGACTCAAGTCCAAGTTCAGGAGGTGGGGTTGGAGTCGTCCACTGATTGGAGCACTGCTCGTCGGAAGGCTGCATCATCTCTGGACTGCTGGGTAATTGCATAGTGCGAGACGAAAGTGTATATGGAGGGCCATGTCGCTGTTCTGCAGATTTCCTGAGTAGCAATCTGTGCCAGGAACGCTGTTGACGAAGCCTGCGCTCTGGTGGAGTGCACAGTGATCAGGGGTGCGGGAACCCCCACCAGGTTGTAGCACTTGTGGATGCAGGATGTGATCTATGACCAAATGCGTTGTGATGACATGGGTAGGCCTTTCATTCTGTCTGTCACAGCCAAGAATAGCTGGACTAATTTTCTGAACGGCTTTGTCCTCTCCAGGTAGAGCGCCCTGCAGACATCTAGTGAGTACAGCTTAGGGTAGAACACTGGGAGAAAGATGTCCTGGTTAATGTGAAACTGCGATACAACCTTTGGGAGGAAAGCAGAATGAGGTCTGAGCTGCACCGTGTCCTTATAAAACACAGTATAAGGGGGCTCTGAGGTTAGGGCCTGGAGTTCAGACACTCTCCTGGCCAAGGTTATCGCCACCTGAGGGAGACTGTCCTCTCTCTGACCTCTTTTTTTTCTGGGCCGGCAACTGGGACCAGTGCTCAAGGCTGGAATGTCCCTGAGAGGCTCGATGCCAAGCTTCCTTGCCAGCATCTTTCTTTGGCGTCGGATCCTTCAAAGACGGCACCAGAGTGCTTTGCGCAGAAGACAACGTGCTGGGAGCAGGGTCCCTGGGGCCTGGGTCCAACTGAGGTCAGAGAGCTGCCTCCATAAAGAGAATTTTGAGATACTGCTCCCCTCTCCTTAATGGTTCTTGGTTGGAAAGCCCAACAGATCTTGCAGCAGTCTTTCTGGTGACTCTCACCCAGGCATTGTAAGCAGGTGGTGTGTGTGTGGGGGTGGGGGTGTCACTTTTTGGCATGCGCTTCAAGCAAATCTGGCAAGTCTGAAAGCCTGGGGATCATGGCATGCCCTGGTAATAAATGGGGGAAGGAACCCCTTGTAACTGAAACTTATAAAGAACTACTAAACTATACTAACTACTGGAAACCAGCTTTGTACAGCGTACAGCTAAAGCACTGCTCATCCACTTGCCGAAGCAAGAGAAGAGCAAGGGGAAGTTCCAGCTACCGCCACTGGCAGCAGGAAGGAACTGAGGGGGTGGTGGATCGGCAGGACTCTACATTGGGCGCCATGAAGGTGTGACTCCAGGGGTTGCTCAGGCCAAACCAACGGTTGCTGCTTTGGGGAAAAAATCTTCCGGCTACTGTGTATGTGCACACACCTGATTGGAATGGACATGAACAAGCACTCTAAAAAGAAAAACCGGTTACTAACATTCCGTATCTTTTGTTCTTTGAGATATGTTGCTCATGTCGATGCCAATGTAGGTTTGTGCACCACCACTGGAAAGTTTTCCCTCAGTGATATCCGTCAGGTTGGCTCCGGTGCCTCCTGGAGTTGTGCCCTCCTAGTGACAGTATATATGGCCCTGCTGCTCCCTCAGTTCCTTCTTGCCTGATAACTCTGACAGAGGGGTAGGAGGTTGGGCTGTGGAATGGACTTGAGCAACACATCTCAAAGAACAGCAGCTGTGGAAGGTTAGTAACCATTTTTTCTTCTTTGAGTGCTTGCTCATGTCAATTCCAATGTAGGTAACTCCCAAGCAGATGTAGGAGGAGGGGTCAGAGTTCAATGACAAGCAGACTGTAGCACCGCTCTGCCGAATCCAGCATCGTCGCTGGCCTTCTGAGTGATGGCATAGTGAGTTGCAAAACTGTGGGCTGGAGACCATGTTGCCACTCTACAGATATCCTTGATGGGAACCTGTGCCATGAATGCAGCTGAAGACTCTTGCACCCTTGTGAAATATGCTATCAGGGCTGGAGCAGGGACTTTCGCCAGGTTGTAGCACACACGGATATAAGAAGTGATCCACGAAGAAATTTTCTGGGTTGAGATTGGGAGACCTTTCATCCTGTCTGCCACTGCCACGAAAAGCTGAGTAGTCTTCCTAAATGATTTAGTCCTTCCTATGTAGAAGGCCAGCACCCACCTGACATCTGGTGAATGAAGCCTCTGTTCCTGCCTGTTGGCATGTGGCTTTGGGTAGAAGACCGGGACGAAAATGTCCTGGTTATTGTGGAATTGCAACACCAACTTTCGGAGGAAGCCTGGGTGAGGACACATTTGGACCTTATCCTTAAAGAAGACTGTGTATAGAGGTTCTGAAGTAAGGGCCCTAATCTTCGAGGCCCTTATGGCCGAGGTGATGGCCAGCAAGAAGGCTACTTTCCAGGACAAGTAAAGTAGAGAGCACATTGCTAAGGTCTTGAATGGGGAAACACCTATCCCAGGAAGCTCTCTGCCTGTGGGAATTCTGCATATCCACTTAATCCACCTCGAAGCCTCCTGTCTCTCAAGGGGACAGAACGAGTTAGTGGATTGCCTCCACTTGTCTTTCTCCTATCATGAATGGTCCAACCGCCCAGAAACCGTAAAGAACATTTTCCCAGAGGTGGGGAACTCCCCAGATACACCGGTTTTGCAACCAAACGAACAGGAAGTGTCTTCAGTTCTGTTCCTTTCTGAATCACAGCCTTGGCTCACTCATGGATGTGTTTCTCCTTCCCTGGAGAGACCATCTCTACTATGCATTCCCCCCTTTCCTCTCATACACAAGGTCCTGCTGAAAGTCAGAGAAGAAG